GGGGGGGGGTACGTACACGTAATGACGCGGATCGTTGGGAAAGATATACGTTCGAAAACGATATTCGTCCGGTGTTGATTGTTTCAAATCGAGCAGTAAATAACCGTGAGGACGCGAAGTGGCGTCATAGTACGCTTCTTCCAAAAACTTTGCGTCGTCGGGATAGACTTGACGCGCGAGATGGCGAATTTGCGCGTGATCGCGCGGGTTCTTGAAAACCACAATGTAATTCGCATTCAACGAAATATCGCGTTGACCGCGTCCTTGATGAAAGAAATTCTGTGAAATAAGTATAACGCTAAGATTTTTATGATGGCTACCCTTGGTAAACAAATCAACGATTACTTCGCACGACGACGATTCTCGCATAAGATCGTCGATTATTATTAATTTCGCACAAAGCGGATCGTTCGAGTAATCTTCCGGGCGGGGTAGTCCTTTGCGAAATTCGATTTTACATTTTTCCATCTCGCGTTGCAACTCGAGATAGGCTTCTTGCCACTCGCCGTAATAAAATAAAATTCTCCCGAATCGAATATTCGCCATTTTCGGCAAATAACGGAAAAAAGTCTTTACAAAAATTGTTTTCCCGCATCCCGTAAGACCGCAAACAATCGACGTCCAGGGATGTTTCCAGTGCACGTCCATTTCGAAGACTGTGCAAATTGCCGCTCGTATAACTCTTAAATTAAACTGTTTTTGGTTTGCGATGAGCTCACCATCGCGCGTTGGGCCCCGCGGCGGCCGCGTTTTGCTGCGACAACGAGCTAATTTTCGTCGCGGCAACGGTGAGCTTATTACGGATGATTGAAAAGCTGTTTTCATGAAAAATCAGCTTATTGTCGCGCGCGCAAAACTAAGCTCGTCAAACGCGCGCCAATATAAGCTTATAGCTTTTTGTTGAGGTTATATCAAAAAGGCAGTGTCTAAGGATAAACAGGCTTAGCCGCTCGCGCTAGCCGCGTACGCTATAGCTATGTTGAAATAAAGAGACAGTAGACATATCTCTGTTCTCTTTTACCGCCCGAAGACGGCCGAATCGTCGAGCGCATACGTACACGGCTGCTCACCTGTGTGTGTATCCCCTCCACTTGCTACAGCGTGCTGTAAGAGAGTCAAAACTGGGCACACTGGGCGCATATTAGAGCTAAGCGCTCTCTCGGTGAAAAAAACATCTGTCTTTTGAAATCTGTATCTTCTAAATAAAAATCAACGCGCTGCTTTTCTGCAAAACGCTGCTAACAAATTTATTGCGTGTATTCGCGAGTGTGTCCACAATACGCTCAGAGGTAACGTACCGCTCGAAAAAAGAGAGAAGAACCGCTTAATCCGATACAAAACGGCGCTGTGACGTATCGCGGAACGAAGAGGTACTTGGAGGTGCAAGAGAAACCTGCTGGTGCAACAAGGAAGCTTTTTACCGTACATCATCGGGCTCATACTCACAGCTTTATTATCTCGAATCGAGTAATCATGGAACGGGCTAAAAAAATTGTGCTGATTTCCACGGATAATCTCGAAAGAATGCAACAACGAATGGCGGGGGAAAATACCGCTGCTAATACCACACGCACTCCCGGAACCGTGCTCTCGCGTCTCGACGCGGAGATGAGACGTATTCTCGATTTCCCTGTTGATGAAGATGAAAAATGGAAATTGTACAGCGAAGTACTTCGTCGATATCTATATTTTATCCGAAAAGCGAGAAAGCGTTCTCGCAAAGAAGAAGATCCATCCGTGGCGGAAACAACTGCTGTGACTGGTGGAGAGGGGGATGAGGAGGAGGAGGACGAGGAAATGAGAGAACTATTTCACGACGCGGAAGAACCAATGGACGCTTTGCCTCAAACATCCTCTGTTTTACCAAAACATTATTCAACACCATTACGACACAATAATAATAATCAATATCAACGGATTAATCAGTCAACTCCGAAGAAAAATGTATCGTTTGCAGATATTTCATTTAACAACAGCAGCGCAACGAACTCTCGCGAACGAAAAACTATAACAAACATAATAGAAACAATTCCAAAAACTTACCGCCCCAAAGCGCGAATGCTTTTGAATCATCTGATCGAAACGGCTGTTCCCGTCAAGATCACATGGAACGAACGCGGCGTCGTGACCAAGAGTCCAGAATTGGTGGGAGCGAATATTGTGGAACTTGTAAACGATGCGATGCGAGAAAGAAAAACCGCTGGAATACTGGAGGCCATTCATTTTGCTCATTTACTTCGCGACATAAACACGCCTCAATACGTGGAAAATCCTAAATATTTACGCTTTTTGCGAAAAGGAAGAAAAAGAACAAAGCGCAAATCTCCGTATAGTATTGAACAAGAAGAAGAAGCCGAAGAGGAAGGATGGGATTACCGCGCCACCGACAAGAACAAGAAAAAGATACGAATCGGGATTCCGAGACGGCTTCTCACGTGGGACGAAATGTAAACAAAACGCTTGACAAGTTGTATTATAATCCCGCGCATTACGCCGGTTACTCGTCGACGGAAAATTTGTCGCGAGCCGCTAAACCGAATTACTCGTGCGAGGACGTTGTTCGCTGGCTTCGTTCGCAAGATGCTTACACGCTACACCGTCCCGCGCGGCGAAAGTTTCCTCGACTGCATTACAACGTGACGAATATCGACGATCTCTGGGAGGCTGATTTGATAGAATTGCGAAATTTGCGAAGCTATAACGACGGATATTGCTATCTACTGAAAATTATCGACGTGCTCAGCAAATTCGCGTGGGTGGAACTGTTGCGAGACAAAACAAGTGCTCAAGTTCTTCGTGCGTTTCAACGCGTGCTCTCGAGAAGTGGCGGACAAAGACCCGTATATCTGCAAACCGACAAAGGTAAAGAATTTATCGCGCATCCACTGCAAAAATTTCTCAAGGAAGAAGGAATTCCGTGTGGTGCGTAATCCAGACGTTAAAGCAGCCGTGATCGAGCGTTTCAATAGAACGCTAAAAGAGCACATGTGGCGCTACTTCACGCACAAAAACACGAAACGGTACCTCGATGTCTTGCAGGATATTGTGCACGCGTACAAATGCCGCACTTTTCCATACGCATGAAACCCGCGGATGTTACAATGGAAAACGCGAATATTGCGCGCGAAAACACGTGGCATCGCTGGAAAAAACAGCGAGCGAAAGCAGCTAAATACTCCGTCGGCGATCTCGTACGTGTCAGTAGAGCGAAAGCTGCCTGTGAGAAGGGATACGAGGCCAAGTGGAGCGAAGAGATATTTCGAATTCATCGTGTTCTCGAGTGGCGAAATCCGCGTGTTTACGAGCTGAGTGATTTAGCGGATGAGGTTACAGACGGAATTTTCTACGAGCAAGAACTGGCTCCTGTTGTTAAAAACCTACAAGAAGAAACTTTCATCGTTGATCGGGTGATAAAGAGCAAAGGTCGGGGACGTAATAGGCAACTGCTAGTTAGCTGGCAAGGTTATTCGTCTAAATTCGACTCGTGGATTCCGGCTTCGAGTTTAACAACGCTTGCACAAGGCAATGATAGCGACAATGATGATGACAATGGAGGAACACTTTTTCGTAGTTCTCCCGAGCAATAGCAGTATGCTTTACTTCCCGCACAACACCACTTCGTGTTTTACCATGGAATTACCTCGCCGTATAGATTTGCAGGAAAAATGGGAAGTTGCTCTCAGCGAGATTCAGTTTCCTTCTAGTTTTTTACATTTACGCGAAGATGAAGCTCTGATAACGCTCGCGAATATCTTTCCTAACCTAACGGCGATATTTCGTCAGTTAACATTCCAATTTCGTCGGGAATTTATTCTTCAGAAGCTGATCTTATAGAAACTATAAATCATTCGTGCTCTCAAGAAAAATCACATATTACATGGTCACTGAATCCTCTATATGGTAATAAAGTTTCTATATCGTTTACATGTAAAGAAGACAAATGCAATCAAATTCATAGTGTAAAGCTTAGCGACAAATTGCGTCGTATACTTGGATTTGAATCATCCTCTGTTAATACGCCTTTCGTAGTAGACAGCGCTGCCGGTGTTGATAGTTTCGAACCAATTAGTTTGGCCCGTGCTATCCCCGACAAGTTATTTGTTTATTGCGACATTTGCGAGTCATACATAACCGGAGATGCGCTAACACCGCTTCTTCGAATCGTTACTAACAATACCACGAATAAGTACGGTTGTAATCAGGTGAAACATTACTCGCCTGGAAATTATATTCCGCTTCGTAAAACAAATTTCCGCGTGATAGAAATAGACATAAGAGATCAGTTTTTCAAATTTATTCCATTCGAATTCGGCACGTTGACGGTAACGTTACACTTTAGACGCGTATTCGAGTAGAATATGGCTCATTATATGGAATATTACGAGATGCAAAGCGGGGGCGGTGTTCCGAGAGTTTTCACGGGATCGACGTATCAACGTGGTCACGGTATCGGAAGCTTTCTCGGCGGATTGTTCAGGAGGGTGCTTCCCTACCTGGCTAGCGGAGCGCGCGATCGGAAAAGAAGCTCTACGCGCCGGTGTGAGAATAATAGACGATGTAGGGAATAACAATATTCCGCTNAAAGAAGCAGTTAACAGTCGTTTCAAAGAATCACGTGACAATCTCAAACAAAAGACAAAATAACCAGCTTAATGCGAGGGTCGGGATATATACCCCTTGCAAAGAAACGCCCGGGTCAGTTTGACCCTGGTGAGCTCCCCGTTCACTTCGCGATCAAGCGTCGCCGTCGTGCTAGTAGCATCAACAAGAAATCGGCTTCCGTGCGGAGAAAAAAGAAAACTCGAGCAATTAAACGCTCAATGAGTAAAGGAATTCAGAAGAAGAAGAAAATGAAGAAAAAGCGACAAAAACTAGCAAACGCCGCGTGAGCAAGAAATGAACTGTGAGCGATATATTCTCGTAGACAAAGCAAAATGTCTTTTCTCCATACTCACTCGTGTGAGTGTTTCAAAAGCGAACTTGATCTTTTCACTCTACCGCCCACTCAGACCAGTATCGAGAGTT